ACGAAGACTCTACCGTACCTTATTTGGCACACATTTTACGTGATGAGAAAAGTATAAGGGATGAAACTAATAACTAGGTTACTTGGTGTCACTATTTCTGCTTGACTTTAATTTTACACTGATATTCTTAATGACATTATCAATACAAACGCCATGTTAATTATTCTCTGCTTACTATGTAAGGTAAGGAGACACATAGATAAAACATTGTACTATATGCTGAAAATTCCACATTGTATCAAATGTACCGTTTATTATTATCATCATACCTGTTATCAATCTTGTGTTTACCTTCAAATACCTCAGTCAAAATGTATACAAATCAAAAAATCAGCGATTTACACACGAAAATAACAGAGAATTATTTGTTATCATGAATGTTTGTTTAAGTATGCACAATATAAAAGTTGTTACAACTAAATTATTTGCGACATATTTTTCATGTACTAGGCCATAAATTCCACATTTTATTCGAAGTCTAACAATACTATTCGGTTAGCTGTCTCAGCTGACGTACATGAGCTAGGCTACTAAACGTCACATACTTAAGTAATTGGGCTATATATCCACCGATATAATGAATATCACTATCTAGGCGATGTTTAATAGGAGTTGAATTATAGACCTGAAAAGAATAAACGATGTACTGGACACAGAACTCAGCCAGCTCAGAACAAGCTGAATTCAGGAAAGGCAAATCGTGTGCTGATCAAGTTGCAACTCTACGCATCATTATAGAACAAAGCATAGAATGGCAGTCAAACCTCTACCTCAACTTTATTGACTGTGAAAAGGCCTTCGGCAGTGTAGACCTGGAAGTAATTTGGAAACTACTAATTCAACACTACGACACACCTCAAGTCTTTGTTAACCGTATTCAATAGCCGGCTATATGACAACGCCACGTGTCAAGTGATGCACAACGTGGAATTCAGCGAGGTGTTCAAAGTGCATACAGGAGTATGACAAGCTGGCTGCCTATTATCACCGATCATATTCTTAATTGTGGTGGACTGGATTATGCGTCAGACTGTGCGTTGGGAGCGAGGAGTTAGTAATACGCTGGACGACCGATAAGAAGAATCTAGAAGATCTGCATTTCGCAGATGATATATGTCTAATGTCTAAACTCGAAGACTTACAGGCAGGCGAAAACCAAAAAACTGGCTGAAGAGGTTGGCAGCAAAAAAGATTGCAGGTGAACACAGAGAAGACGGAGGTGATGAAGATAACCAACTAACCGGCAGCAACAACAACCAGCACTGATCGCCATCAACGGGATAGCTTTAACACAGGTTGCCTCCTACATTGATCTGGGAAGCATCGTTTCAACTACAGGTGACAAAACGGATGAAGATGTTAAAGTAAGGCAGAATCGGAAAGGCAAGATGCACCTTCGTCCACCAACCTGAAACCAGTTCGGAAATCTTCTGCACTAATTCAGTCAGCATCGAGAAAAAGACTTGGATTTTCAGCACGAATGTGAAGTCAGTCAGTCAGTCAGTTCTTCTGTACAGGTCAGAAACCTGGCGTATCCGTCATGAAAAGCATTTCCAACAGCTTGCTGCAGACTTTTATCAACAGCTGCCTTCTCTGGCTCCATAATGAAGATCAAATGACGAGAAAGAATAAGTAACAAGAAATTATGGGAGCACACCAATCAAAAGCCGATTGCTCAGCAAATATGTAGAAGAAAGTGGAGAGGGATCGGGCATACATGGAGGAGGCCACCGAATGACATCGCACGCAATGCAGGCCAGTGCTAGAGTGGAGTCCAAATGGGAAGCGACGAGTGGGTCGTCAGTGTGAGGGTGATATGGAAGAGATGAGAGAGTTTGGTCAATCGTGGACGCAGAAACAGAAGAGAGTGGAGATGTGTTGTTGAAGCCCTATGTGCCACTCGGAACGCAAGAAAATAATAATAATAAATAATAATAATCATTCTAGAACATAGTTTTTCACTGCATACTTGTCAGCCAAGTAAAATGAATGGTCAGGGACATCATATCTCAGATATGACATATTAAAAGTGACCTAATGAACAAAAGACAAATATCCCGCTTTTTCTAATTTCTCCAAATCTTCATTGGGGTACAACTATCATTGGATTAGGTCGGTGAATAAATTACATCACATCTAACCTCACTGACTACAGGCGCCACAATTTCATATTATTATTACTTCAGGGAAAGCTATCGAAAACAGAAATTACTACTGAACAGTGGACTATTCTTTGACTGCACCTTACATAACCAAAAGTAGAATATTGGATGTTCCTTAGATAAAAGGTAGAATTACTCGGGACATATAAGTCATCTGTGAAAAAGGAGAAAATTATATATTTGAAGAAGAATTGCAAAATTTTCTAGGAATCTTTACAGACAGTGGTTTCTCACTCCGATTCATAGACAAGAATCTAAGACCAAAGACAACGTCTGGAAAGGTCCAAGTCGTCCCCCTAAAACGGTAATGATGCTTAACCTTGGACTTAAAAGTGATACTGAAGCGGAGATTCCTCTTAAACTTGCTAATCTGGAACTGAGTAAATTGGCTGTACCATAAATCCGCTTGTAAAAAACGCTGGGTAACACTACTCAGCATGGTCAGCAAAGAGAGAAAGCAAATGTCCCCTAACCTAATAACTGTCTGTTCATACCCAAATGACACTGCTTCCATGCACATTTGTGGGAACAGGACGTGAATGACAGTAGATTCAATGGTGCTGAAATATTGAAAGTGACATAATGTTGGGCAGTTTTTCCATGAAAGTAGCCACAACAAGTAACAATGAAGTCAGTGGTATCAGGAATTTTACCAGCTATTCTAATCACTCAAGACAATAAGATAGGGACTTTTCCAAAGATTTCCTTAAGAAGAATAGCAAACTTCTACAGTTGTACCAGTACGACGAGGGAAGATAAGAAACTTGGTAATTGACAATATTTATCAAGGGAAAACGTATCATATTTCCACATTCTTAACCACGTTAAAAGTTGACAAGCTCAACGGACAAAAAGATGTTCTGACTAGTAGGGATTGGCCCAAGGTCAAGCAACTGGACGAAAGGTTGTCCAATAAGACTGTTTCAGAAGGCCATGAAGTTAACCAAATCCAAATTTAAGGGATAAACATTTCTTCCCCTGGGCTATTGACTTAGAATGTTGATTTTAATTTTCGGTCGCTTCCTATCAATCTGCATCTCACCGCACCATAACATGAGAAAAACGTCAGATAGTGGCTCCATACTACTCATCATGCCATCCAGCTCACGCCGGAATCGGAAATGAACTCGGAATTCCATTTTCGGGATATTTTTCTTACAAGGATATCTGATGGTTCTCTTCAAAGATTGGTCTACAGGAAACCAACACGGAATGGTCAGTACACGAATTTTTATAGTTGGATCCCTTTGAGAAGACAGAGAAACCTGATTCACTTCTTATTCTCAAAATAAGGACATGTTCCAGTGATATAATCTGCGGGGAACTACAGTTACTGAGACAAGTCCTCATAGAAAATGGATATCCTCCAAGATTTATCGAGGAAAGCAAAAGCAAAAGCCTGAAAGAACCCAGATGGCGCAGAATTTTAAAGGTGATCCGCAGTTGAGATCCTGAAGAATCGCTTATGCAGATCACTGAGGAAAGCCTTCTTTATGGCTGAGCTACGTAGCAATTTCTACAGCCGACAAATGATTAATGGATGTGTGAAGGATAAAATGTCACTTTGAGCTACTTAAATGTGTGTTTATAAATTCACCTGATCATGTTTTCATTCCTTTACGTTTCCTGTGGAAAATAAGGCTTCAAGCTACAGGCTTGAAGTTTCTGTAGCAGTAGTGGTTATTTTTACAGGATGGGGTTGCTAGCCTCATGCTCAACCTTCCCTCTTTATCAGTCTTACTACTGCTTTAGCAGGTGAAAGGAGTGCGTTGGTGGCCGGTGATCAAACCTCGGACCACCTGCGTGGTCGGTGAGCACTCTAACTTTGTGGCACCGACGCACACCTGATCATGTGGAGCTAGTTATAGTGGCCGCACAAAGCGCAAACTTTCCAAACGCATTTCTTAACATTATCGATTAGGGTTAGCAAAAGGACAATGCAAAGTATTTGCTAGCTCAGTTCTCCACCACTTTGTGAACTCTAGCTGCGTAGCTCCACCAGAGTCGTCTTTCAAGATCATCTACGAGATGAAGTCAAATGGCACCAAGGGCACCAGATTTCGGCTGTTGCAAATGGCGGAGGCGCTGGTGATTCGTCAATACGACCCCAAACTCTGTATACAGAAAAAGTTTGTTCAGTCTCTTGTTCTACCTTGGTCTTAACCTCTTCACTAGCCGTTCCCTATAAAGAAGATTAATTTTTTCATTTCCTTTTTAAATTTTACTTTTAGCTTACTTTTGCTTCAATAATTAATTCACTATTATCACTCTCATATGCTCCTTCTGTACATTTCACACCCTCTTCACACTTGTTAAATTGACACTCAAATACCACCTTTATTCTCACTCAAGAGCAATTTTGACCTTATCAAATTTCTAACTTTGTGCCGTTGAGTGCTACGTTATATACAACTTTTTATTTTTTACTTCGAAAGCCACTTCTGAGTAATTATTATATCGATTATGTCACTCCGTGTTACTCAATAATAGATTACTATACATTTTTGGCAAATATAAATACGACTGTACAGCCACCTGTGAAGATGATTTCGTCGACAAAGAAAATTTTATTCGCTGAATTTGTCTTTTATTTTCTTCATGACTCAATGGGTATTTTCGGTGATCTTTGTATTCATTTAAACGCAGTTCACAAGCTCTACCAGTTCACAGTAAAAGCGACACATATATTTTCATTTGGTAGTTTAAAATTTGACAAGACCGCATACCACTTTGCAGCTTAAATAATAAAGTGAAATATATTTAAGCATGAAATGCTTTTCTCTCTCTCTCTGTCTCAGTCTTGCTCTGATAATTTTATTTTGCCCATTTACCAATTAGATTCCTTGGACAAGTGATAATTCCTCTACAAGCTGTATTATCAACAAGTGATGAGGTACCAATTTGTGTGGCATTACAGAATAAGAAAGGCCAAGATAGTACGGTAAGTTAGAAGCATTTTAAGCATCTTTTTCCTATGTTTGTCTATTTGTTTGTTTCCCTCATTTTGCTGTCTCTTATCATTTAGAACAGTATTTCAGTATTCCATGTACTTAGTTTTTAACATTTTTTTTGGTATTTCTTTACGTTCCAAGTGGAATATAAAGCGTCAGGAATGACCTTTGAAGTTTCAGTAGCAGTGGTGCTTACTTTAAGGGGGTGGGTTTGCTAGCCTCATACCAAACCTTCCCTCTTTACCAGACTTATTACAAGCTAGGCGAGGTAAAAGGAGTGCATCGACCAAGGTTCGAACCCTGGGTTACGTGCATTGTTGATAAGCGTTCCACCGCTGAACCGCCGACGCCAGAACTCTGGAATGCCGGTTCAAATTTTCATAAAACTTTGAGAAAATCAGCAATGGCATCATATACCGTTTTATTATCATTTCTTGTGTTCCAAATGGAATACAGGGCTTCAAACTTTAAGCTTTGAGGTTATAGTAGTGGTTGTAGTGCGATGAGAGCTGTTGGCTGACTAAAAATTGTGGACTGCAATTTACGTCGATGGTTCGTCCCGAACCGGGGTCATGAGAAAAAAACAATAAGAAAGCTTAACCTTGAGGAACTCAACAACAAATCACAGCAGACTGAACGTCTGCAAACACGATTCTCAGATATGTGGCTTTACTTTCTAAGAAACGGTCACAACCAGTTCAGAATAACCTCGAGAAAGAAAACAACCAATCAGAACACGTTGATTCTCTGCTGACAATAATGTACATAAAAATCTATAAATATCTCTTGGTTTTCTCAGTAAACTATATGTTGCCTGACCCTTGTCTTCTGTCGTTACAGTAGCCGTAGTAAGGTGTTGTTTACATAGGGTAGATTTATCAACTTCACATCTAACTTCCCCTGTTTTACCGGCTTACAGTCGACTAGGTGAGACTTTGCAGTGCGTCAACCGATATTCAATCCTAGACCTCCTTCATGGCTGGTTAGCATTCTACTAGTGAACCACCGAAACATCAGTGAAATTAGTCATTGGTTCTTCTCACCCACTGCTTAGTTTACAATGTTACGTAATAATTCATTACGTATACAAATTTATGAGATACATTTTAAAATGTAGTTACTTGGGTGGTGTAGAAGTTTGTAAATTGTTTTTACCCCTACCAGCCAGTTAACATGGGGATGCTTTATCTGATAAACGATGTCTTGCTTTGAAGCATTCACTAGCAAAGTGTCATTTTAGCCCTAAGAAAATTGCTCTTTTCATTTTAAATCCAAACTTTTCGTCATTATCATCCTATATTCTGATACTATTAGTCTTAACCTACTGGAATGCCCGAGTCATACGTAGAATGAAGTATATGCTGTACACTCCTAACACTTAAAAGGAAAAAAGGGTACCAAAGTGAATGAGAGGATATAGGCTTCTGATCTAAGAATATTTCAAGTATTTATTGTGCTGTTGATTGCTTCAAGAAATAATATTATTTAGGGAACCTTTTTACAAATCCTCTTAATTTAAGATTCTTCATCCACCACAAATTCTATCTTCAAATCGATCAAATCTTCACCATCAAACACACGCTGATGGCTATTCATTTCTTTGAAGTAGCTATTAATGTTAAATGAGAATAGAATATTTCCCAGCTGTGAATAAATTCGCTTTGAGCATTCAAAAATTGATCTAATGCTCACTAGTTACTGGATGGTTTCTCTAGGTTCTAGTGAGAAGTCCTAACTAATGGAGTCCACCAAGTTTAATGTGAAGACAAATACTCCCTGAGGATGCTTGGTAACGGTTGGGATATATATGTTGCAGACTGGTAGAAGTAAGAATTCATGGGCTAGCCATCACGTCATCAGATTGGCCTCATGAATTTAAGTTCCCAAGTTCAATCCCTAATGTGATGCTATGTGCACAGACTGCCAAACTAAAACGAAACAGGTGGGGTGTGAGGACAAATACTCGCCGAAGACATTGGCTAGGGGTCGCAGTATATCGTGAATTGACAGAAGTTAGAATTCATGGACTGGCCATTGGATCGGGTCGCAGTGGCTTAATGGTCTACGAGCTAGCTCGCCTTGTAACCAGAAGGTCCTGGGCTCAAACCTCCTGTGGTGGGTGCGTACTTCTGAAGAGTCACAAACTAGGACGAAACAGCTGTCCAGTACTCCCTGCAGGTTTTCCAATGGTTCTATAACTAATGTCACCTCATCATGAAATCCAATAAAGCGAAACATTTGTCCACTTCTCCATGGTTCTTATTGATTCTGTAGCTACAAACTAACAAGACAGTGAAATATAGCACTAAAGCTTGAGAAGAATTTAGAAATTCGTCAGTTTCTGTTTCGTTTATTCAACTTACTAATTTATAATCTTTCTCAATGGGTTTTCCTTTCTTATGCTGATCTAATCCTTTATCATCAAGGGTAACTAAATACCGGAGGAATTCATCTCTACAGTTGGCTAAATGACAACCTGTTTAGTTAGTTGGTCAGCTGATAGAATGAATGAGAATATAAACAGCGCTAAGTGTTAAATAAATATAAACGCTCTGTAAGAGTAGTCAATTAATTACTACAAAAGATCAAAAGAGACTGATGAGAATATTTCTGAATTCAATAGTCTATAGACTTTTACTTTTAAGTAATCCAAGATTGTTTGAAAAAACAACAACAACAACAGAACATGCCAAAATCTCAGGTAAATAATGAGTAGCAGACTACTTTTTAAGCATGAGGAATCACTTACGTCATCACAATCATACGGTACTATTATGTAAGTTAAGCTTTAGTATTTAAAACACTATTCAGTTAGTGGTACTATTTTTCAGATTTTCTAAGAGTGAATTCAGTTTTTCTAATACGAAGACTGAGATTAAGAAAGACTTTTATGTAATGTAGAACTTAGTTTAATTACTGTGTCAATTTGATTTCTGAGTGTCCTTCACTGGTGCTTACAATAAATACATAACCCTGGTGGATGCATACTAATGATGAAATTGTTGTCCATTACATCCTGGCTTTCCAGTAGCTCTCTACTTGATATCATTTCATGATCGAACTTGAGGTAATTAAATTCCCTACAAACCAAATCTTGAAAATTGATCTGGTACTCACTATTGACTGGTTACAAGCGTTGCAAGTGGGGCTCACCACGTCAGGAGTGAGGACAAATACTCGCCGCCGACGACACTGTCTGGTGGTTGCGCTGAAACCAAACATATGGTAGAAGCTGGAATTCATGGGCAGGCCACTGGGTTAGGTCCTGGTGGCTGGGGGGTCTTTGAGTTCGCGTTGTAACCAGAGTGTTAGTGGTTTAAACCCCAGTTGTGGATGAGTACTACCGATGAGTCCCAAACTAGGACGAAACAGCTTTCCAGAAGTACACTGATGGTTCTCAGCTGTTCTCTAACTGATATCAATCCATGATCAAACCTGAAACAACTCAAATCTTTACAAGTTAAACGCCTGAAAATTTATAAAAATATGATTTAATGCTTTTTGCTAATTAACAGAAAGTTACAACTTTTATCAAGTGACCATCAAGGTTATTCAACAGTTAGATGTGAAGAAATCCAAGAGATTCTGAACTAAGTTATTCTAACATTTTCCTCAGCTGAAAAAGCTTGAAATAGTTTTACTGAATGATACATCTGAATTACTTGCTTCAATATAAAGCTAAGATTTCTATAAATATAACCTTGTATATTCAACTGTCTATATGTCTGTGTTTCACTAAGCATCCAATTTTAGCGGAACCGGTTATTTTATTAGTTTAAGATAATACTACTGATTATTCGTCATCTTGAATTGATATGATAAGATAAGATAAGATAAGATAATAGCTTTGTTCCAAAACGGTATTTGTGATACAGAATGGAATTCTCAGCATTTTACTACAATATTGTATCCAGTTAGCACATTAACAATAAATAAAGTTCTACATAGATTAAGGTTATCTCAGTTAGTTTTGACAACAACATATTAGCATGTTGGTAGCAAAGCCAAAATTAAACACAGTGTTAGGTGTTAGAAAAGTAGATGACAGCATATTTACTGGCGTCATCGGTAACAAAATGGACGAGATATACAAAGTGTGAAAGAACGAACAAGAATGTTTTAAGTAGAGTTTATAAGGAAGAGAGAAACAAAACAGCACATAACAAACAAAAAAAGGTAGAAAGAAAGGAAAGGAGAGAAAACGTTGTACCTATATATGATGTGAGTTGGAAAGACAAGATCCAGTTCTTCTACTGACTATTTAATAAGTTAAAGGTTTCACGCCTAATGCTTTCTTTATCGCACAGAACACGAGCTAAGTAAGGTATGGATGAGTTTTTGTACTTACTAGTGCGGGCATATAGTTTTCTATATAGGCTTCTGGTTTTCCCTGAAGAGATGCAGGGGGAGAGTTGTGAATGTAGACGGTGTTGTGAGTCAGATGAAATGGATTTTGCCCATTTTTCACTTGAGTCCAAGTGCCTGTCCACCAGAATATTAACAAGCTGGTTAAGTGGCAAACTGCTTACCCTGCTGACAACCTTTAACATCCTGCGTAATAAGGTATAGTCTTTCTTCAGTAGCCCTGGAAAAACTAAGGGGGAACAATAGAGAATAATAGGCAGAATACGGGAGTTAACGAATTGTAGGAGTATATATATACATATACATTATATACATTTAACTCCTACCATTTTCTTACAATAATTAATGTTTAGAAAATAACTCTTGTAGGTTATCATAAAGATATTAGTTTGTTAATTTGACTTGGCATATCATAATACAATACTAGTTATAAGACAGAGTTTCGGGAATTTTATTTATTAATCATAATCATTGAGAGAAGTATTACGACTGTTAGCATTATTAACTGGATTTTATCAGCTAGGAGACTCGTCATTGTAGTGAGCTTTGAACATTTTTACAGAAAGATCTAAACCTTGTTGTCGGGTCGTTGAATTCCTCCGTAAGCCAGAATAGCTAATTGATG